GGAGTTACAGCTTATCTGAGATTTCCGGAAGACTTGAGAGATTTCTGTGAAAAACTTGAGTTGCAAAGAATGGAGATTGCCGGATGGGAGGAAGAGGAAAGAGAAATAGGAGTGAAAAGACAGGAGGACTGGCAGTCTGTTGGAGGGAGAGATTAAGGTGGGGGGAGGAGAGGAGAGAGGGGGGTGTTTTTTTTTCCCCCTCTACTCACTCTCTCCCTCTCCTCCTTTCTCTCTCTCTCTCTCTTTTTATGTCTTTTTACCTCTCTTATAGTAGGTTATCTAGAGCTCGGCTTCAGGGGGTTTGTGGAATTTTAGGGAGTTAATTAAAAGTCAGAGGGTACGGGGGAGATGGGAGGGAGGAGGAGCTGTCCATGGACGGAGTTTGACCCCAAGTATTAAATCAAAGGTGGGGACCTTGGACCACAAATGATTAATAGGTATATTAGTAGCCTAAAAATGGGAGGGGGTGGGGAGTTGGGGGGATGGGGAGGGGTTTTTGGGTTAAACACTCTGCAGGTTTGAGGGAGGAAAAAAAACAAGGGAAAAAAGGAGGAGAGATGGAGGGGGAGAGGAATGATATAACAAAGATGGAAGAAATACAAGTTATTACCTATAATGTAAAGGGGCTGAATTGTCCCGGGAAGAGATTTAGGTTATTTAAAGAACTACACCATAGAGCATCTTCAGTGTTTTTTTTTGCAGGAGACAAACTTTGAAATAGAATCTAAGGTTAAGTTGAAATCTAGATATCATCCAACATGGTATTATGCAGATTCCCTGATTAGTAGAGCAAAAGGGGTGGCAATAGGGTTCGCGAAAAATATGAGGTTTGAGTTGGAGGATAGAAAAGTGGACCCAGAGGGGAGATATTTGTTCTTGAAGGGTAAACTGCAGGAGGTGGAGTGTACAGTAGCTAATATATATTGTCCAAATAAGAAGCCGGAGATATATATATGCAGAGTGTGCTGAAGAAATTGATGGACTTTAAAAAGGGCCGGGTTATATTGGCTGGGGAGTTTAATATTTGTATGGACCCACAAAAAGATACAACCTCTTCTGTGCAGCGAGATGGAAGTAGGTCTCTGAAATTATTAAAAAAGGAGATCCATGAGTTTCAATTGGTGGATACATGGAGAATCACGCATATGAAGGATAGAGACTATACGTTCTTCTCAAATGCACATGAGATGTATTCGAGATTGGATTACATTTTGATAGAACATCAATTTATTGAGTTAATAGTTGAAGTGGAAATAGGAGTAATGACTATTTCGGATCATGCCCCTGTTGTATTGAAGATGGGATGGGGAAGGGAGAAAACAGGTGGTGCCGGATGGAGGTTGAATGAGGCACTTCTCTTGGATAAGGATACTACCCAGAAGATTGAGATAGAAATCGAGAGGTTTTTCAGAGAGAATGAGACAGAGGATGTGTCGATAGCTACAGTGTGGGAGACCCACAACGCATATATAAGAGGTATCTGGATTGCGATAGGGGCAAAAAAGAAAAGAGAAAGGAAAGAGAAAATTAGTAGGCTCTAAGAGGATATATTCGACCTGGAACAGATATATAAAAAAAGTATAGCAAAAGAAACTAAACAGAAGATAATAAAAAAGAGCTAGAAACTTTAATGGAGGAGGAGAGAAGGAGAGTTTATAATTAAGTGTTAAGTGAGAGGTATAGAAAGGGGGATAGGCCAGGAAGATATCTAATGAGATCCTTAAGGAAAAAGAAAAACAGGAATTATATAGAAAAAAATAAAAAGCCCCAAAGAAGAATTACTGCACTGAAATAAGGAGATTGCAAAGGTGTTTATGGACTATTATGTCACTGGAGCCCTTGTTGTCTACAATAAGGAAGAATAGAGATATAAAGGGAATTCAGATAGAAACCATATAGCACAAAGTAGCGGCCTTTGCAGATGATTTGTTATTTTATGTGGGGAATCCTAGGATAACACTACCAAATTTAATGAAGGATCTGAAGAAATACGGTGAATTATCAAATTTAAAAATTAACCCAAAAAAAAAAAAAAAACTGAGATCCTAAACATAAATATTCCAAAAAGCGAAAAAGAGAAAATAAAAAAGGAATTCCCCTTCATCTGGAAAGAAAGAAAGATATAAATATTTAGGAGTAAGACTCACTACTGCATATAAGTATTTGTATAAACTAAACTATATAATTCACTATTAAATGAAGTCAAGGAGGAATTAAAAAATATAGAAAGAGGAATCCCATCATGGATAGGACATATAAATCTGGTAAAAATGATAATTGTACCTAAAATCTTATATAGATTTCAAATGATACCAATTAAACTCCCAGAAGCTTTTTTCAAGATAATAAAAAGAATAACAAGATACATTTGGAGGAATAAAAAACCGAGAGTGTCTTATGAAGTTTTAAGTAGAGATAAAGAGATGGGTGGTTTGGGAGTTCCAGATATTAAGAGATATTACAAAGCAGTAATATTAGGGAGAATTTTCGACTGGACATTTAACTTAGAGAGGAAAAGTTGGGTAAAAATTGAAAATGCACTTAGCGGAACTAATTTGAATAGAATCATTTGGTTACCTGCACAATATAGAGGATTAAAAGAGGATTTGAGCATATACACTTTAAATGTATTAAGGGAATGGGATAAAGTACACAAATGTATGAAGTGGAAGTTTAATTCTATATTAATGCCACTAAGAAATACAGAACATTTTCCCCCAGGTAAAGAGGAGATAACAGGTAGATGGTTTAAAAAGGAGGATGTTCAACTGAGAGATATAATGGGGGAGGGGAAATTGAAGCAATTTAAAGATCTGGCAAAGGAAAAAGGGAGAGATCTTTACTAGGTTTGACGAGTGGCATTATCATCAATTAAAATGTTTTGTGGGTTATCTCCCAAAGCCTCTGAGAATGAAAAAGGATAGGAATTTGTTTGAAAGGTTGATGGAGACACGGGGGGATGGGAAACACGGCACGGCTAAAATATATAGAATTCTCACAGAATTAGACACAAAACACAAAACCAATGCACATAGTGAAATGGGAAAGAGATATGGGGGTGGTATTAGATAAAGACAAACAGAAGAAAATAAATAGATTAGTTCACGAAAATGTAAGTTTGAGGGACGTAGAAATAAATTATAATTGTTTGATAAGATGGCACATTACACCGAGTGTTGAAAATAAGATAAGTGGAGAAAAATCACCGTGGTGTTGGCGGGGGTGTGGAGAATTAGGGACAGTGCATCACATTTGGTGGGAATGTCCAAAAATTCAAGTATTCTGGAAAACAATAGTACATTTAATTGAGATCATAACTGAGATAAATATTGGGTTAGACCTTGTTTGCTACACAGTTCAGAGCTACCAGTTAGCAAATATAAGAATTTAGGTTTAGGGTATTATTTAAAATGCCGCAAAAAGTCTGATCCCTAAGTACTGGAGAAAAACAGAAGTATCGAAAGAGGAGGATTGGATAGAAATAATAAACTGGATTAGTAAGACGGAAAAGCTCTACTATATGCAGGAAGATAAAATGGAGATATACCATGCAAAATGGGAAAAATGGGAAAAATCTGGAGTAAAGGGGGAAAAAAGTGAAATGTAGGAGGTTACAGAGTGGGTGGATGGGTAGGATATCCCTGCTTTAGATGAGGAGTGAAAGAATGCAGAGTGGGTGGTTAAGGGTGGGGGAGGGGGGAAGAGGGAGATGTTTTAAGAAGGAAAAGAAAGGTAATAAGAAATAGGTATGTATATTTATTGTGAATATGATGAAAGTGTTTGTATTATTTTGAAAAATTAATAAATATTTAATTAAAAAAAAAAAAAAAACAATGTCTGATATTACCTAAATACTTGCCTTAACAAACTTGAAGGGCCCTAGTGGTCCTCCCAATATACTGGATGCCACAGGGACATTGTAAAAGATAAATGTTTTTAGTGGAACATGTAATAAATGGTATAATCTGATGATCTCTAGAGGTCACAGTGGACGCAAAAGACTTAACCTGTTAACTCCTGAAAAAAAAAATCATAGGCTTAGGGGGTAATCAAATATTTGGGGCTAAACGATTCTGCAAAGACGGAACCCCGTGTGTCACGTACCTAGTAGTGAGCCTGATGTGCAGAGGAAGGCCTCTCATACAGCTCTGGCTCAGGGGTCACTGATAGTGGTATAGTAACCACGAGAGCACGGCAAGGTATGAGTGCCGTGATCAGTCCAGTAGTGTCAGGGCTCCAGGGTATGACCAGAGGTATGTGAACTGACACAAGGAAACACAGGCTTCAGCTATGTTATAAACAATATAATTTATTAACACTAACAATACATAAACGCAGTGCAATACTAAAACATAACACAGTGCAAACGAACCAAACCAAACCACCCACAGATAACAATACACACAATGCAAGCGTCGTCAGGCAGGCCGGGTCAATAACAATCGGGCAGGCAGAGAGTAGTCAGGTCACAAGCCGGGTACAGCAACTAACGGGCAGGTAGGTACAGGGGGTCAGGCAGAGAATGGTCGGGGTCACAAGCCAGGGATCAAACAGGAGAAGTCAGCAGAGGTCCGGATCAGGCAGGGTCAGCAACGAATCAGTCAGACAGGAACAGGGATGCAGGTAACAAGATACAGGGGCCCAGGAAAAACACACACCAAAGGCCCAGACTGCAGGTCTGGCCATCCCTTAAATACACCTGCATAATCAGCTTCAGGTGTTTGGCTGGCTGCAGGGTTGAGTCTCTGACACATCGGGCTGGACTCTGGGCAGCGGCACATCGGGCTGGACTCCGGGCAGCGGCACATCGGGCAGGACTCCGGGCAGCGGCACATTGGGCAGGACTCCGGGCAGCGGCACAGACTCTGGGCAGCGGCACATCGGGCAGGACTCTGGGCAGCGGCACATCGGGCTGGACTCCGGGCAGAGGCACATCGAGCTGGACTCCGGGCAGAGGCACATCGAGCTGGCGGGCTGGCGGGCGCCGGGCCCCCAGGAGGGACGTCAGGCACCGGGCCCCCAGGCGGAGTGGCGGGCACCGGGTCATCAGGCACGACAACGGGCATCGGGTCACCAGGCATCAGGTCATTTGGCTCGCCAGCGGGCACCGCGTCATCTGGCAAGGCAGTGGGCACCGAGTCACCAGGCACGACAGTGGGTTCCGAGTCAACTGGCATGACCACGGGCACTGGGTCAGACATTGGATCGTCTGGCTCGACAGCGGGCATCGGGTCACCAGGCATCAGGTCATTTGGCTCGACAGCGGGCACCGCGTCATTTGGCCATTCAGTGGGCACCGAGTCACCAGGCACGACAGTGGGCTCTGAGTCAATTGGCACGACAGCGGGCACCGGGTCATCAGGTACCGGATCGTCTAGATCGACAGCGGGCACCGGGTCATCTGGCGTTGGATCGTCTGGCTCGACAGCGGGCATCGGGTCACCAGGCATGACAGCGGGCACTGGGTCATCAGGTACCGGATCGTATGGATCGACAGCGGGGCATCGAGTCAACTGGCCTAATGGAATCATCAGGCTGGATCAGTTCATCAGGCTGGGTAGAAACATCAGGCTGGGTAGAGACATCAGGCTGGGTAGAGACATCAGGCTGGGTAGAGACATCAGGCTGAATGGAGGCATCAGGCTGGGTAGAGGCATCAGGCTGGGTAGAGGCATCAGGCTGGGTAGAGGCATCAGGCTGGGTAGAGGCATCAAGCTGGGTAGAGGCATCAAGCTGGGTAGAGGCATCAAGCTGGGTAGAGGCATCAGGCTGGGTAGAGGCATCAGGTTGGGTAGAGGCATCAGGCTGGGTAGAGGCATCAGGCTTAATTGTGGGCGCCGAGGCACCAGGCTGCACCACGAAAGGCAGGTTCTCAGATGGGAGGCTGACCGGTTTGGATACTGGCAGGATGGTATTGGTTGGAAAGAACTTTCGCCTTTTCCTGGTTTTAGTTACCGGAGCACTGTAAGTAAGCGCAGGTTTGTAAACGGATGGAGCAGCTGGAGACAGAGAAGAGCTGGAGGATGGAACAGGGGAGGGAACAGTTGCTACAGAGGGCTTCTTTACAGGGTTAAAGGCAGGATAGGTGCAGCGAGTGGGAACAGGGTACTGACATGCGGTAGATAGCAGGGTATACTGGGCTGTAACTGGAGGTGCTGTTGGGAATGCAGGAATAGAGCTTTGAAGAAATAGATTAGAAGCAGGACTGGGTTTTTGCAAGCTGACTGAGGCTGGGTGCAACAAGTCTGACCATGTCTGCAGTACGGGTCGAACAAAGCTCAGCTTACACAAAGCCTGCCTGGTCAAAGACTGCACTGCGTTTATACAATCCCTTAATACCTGTGGTGAACATGCAGCATAATGCTCCAAGAAGCAATCCACATCATCCTCTAATAACCATACCAGGGACTCTACCTGGTCTGCACTAAATGGTGGCAAAAAGTCATTCCTGCTTTCAGGGGTACCAGATGAAGCCAACTCTACACAAACCTTAATCAAAGGTTGCACCTCAGAGAACTCTGTGCCCTGATCTACTAGGACATGAGCGATCCGTATACATTCTAGCAGTTGATCCCGGGTATACTCCCTCAGAGCCTGATAAGCATATTCTCTGTCATCAAAAACCAGCAGCGACAAATACACAACCTCATCAAGATCCATCCTTCCCAGCAACAAGCCAAGATGGCTTCCCTGTGCAGCCACTTCTGGTCAGGATTGGCCTTGGTGTAATGTCAGGGCTCCGGGTATGACCAGAGGTATGTGAACTGACACAGGGAAACGCAGGCTTCAGCTATGTTATAAACAATATAATTTATTAACACTAACAATACATAAACACAGTGCAATACTAAAACATATCACAGTGCAAACGAACCAAACCAAACCACCCACAGATAACAATACACACAATGCAAGCGTCATCAGGCAGGCTGGGTCAATAACAATCGGGCAGGTAGGAACAGGAGGAGCAGGCAGAGAGTAGTCAGGTCACGAGCCGGGTACAACAACTAACGGGCAGGTAGGTACAGGGGGTCAGGCAGAGAATGGTCGGGGTCACAAGCCAGGGATCAAACAGGAGAAGTCAGCAGAGGTCCGGATCAGGCAGGATCAGCAACGAATCAGTCAGACAGGAACAGGAACAGGGATGCAGGTAACAAGATACAGGGGCCCAGGAAAAACACACACCAAGGCCCAGACTGCAGGTCTGGCCATCCCTTAAATACACCTGCATAATCAGCTTCAGGTGTTTGGCTGGCTGCAGGGTTGAGTCTCTGATTGCTGGGAGCACCCGTTGGCCAGCCCTGGTACTGCAGCCCACAAGGCAGGTGAGTCCCACCATTACTGGCAAGTCCATTCCTGACAAGTAGTATGCGTAGGTAGTAGCTGTCACTTTGCTGAAAGGATGCCAGGAACAGAGCAGCCGGTGGTAGGCAGATGTCTCAGCAGGGCAGGCTGGTAGCAGGTAGAAGGCACAGCAGCAGTAGGCTTATAGCAGAAGGCTGGCAGCAGACAAACATCACAGCAGGCAGGCTGGTAGTAGACAGGCTGATAGCAGATAGATGGCACAGCAGGTGGGCTGATAGCAGACAACTGGCACCAGACAGATGCCACAGCAGGCAGGCTGGAAGTGGACAGGCTGGCAGCAGGCAGACATGTAAGATGAGAGTGTACTGGACTACGGAGCTGGAGCAGGCTGGATGAACAGGATGCAGGGTCTGGCAAAGTGGGTCGGCAACAGACGGGCAGATCGGCATAAACAGCAGGTGTCAGGAATGGACTGGCCAGCAATGGTGGGACTCACCTGCCTTTTGATCTGCAGTACCAGGGTGGCCAGCGAATGCTCCCAGCAATCAGAGACTCAACTTTGCAGCCAGCTAACACCTGGAACTGATTATGCTGGGGTATTTAAGGGATGGCCAGACCCACAGACTCTGCCTTGGTGTTGTGTTTGTCCTGGGCCCTGTATCCTGTGTCTGTCCTGGGCCCTGTATCCTGTGTCTGTCCTGCATCCTGTTTCTGAACTGCTGCTGACTTCTCCTGCTCTGATCCCGGCTCGCTCCTGACCATCCCTCTGCCTGACCCTCTGTACCACGCTGCTTGCTACCTGTTCTGATCCCTGGCTTGTGACCCTGACCATCCCTCTGCTTGACCCTCTGTACTACGCTGCTTGCTACCTGCTGAACCTGGCCTGTGACCCCGACCAATCTCCGCTTGCTCCCCCTGTACCTACCTGCCCTATTGATATTGACCCGGCCTGCCTGACGACGCTTGCTTGTATGTACTGTTATCTGTGGGTGGTTGGTTTGGTTTGGTTGCACTGTATTATGTTTTAGTATTGCACTGCGTTTATGTTTGTATTGTTAGTGTTAATAAAAATTATATTGTTTATAACATATCTGAGGTCTGCGTTTCCCTGCGTCAGCCACACACCTCTGGTCACACCTGGGAGCCCTGACATTACACCAAGGCCAATCCTGACCAGAAGTGGCTGCACAGGGAAGCCATCTTGGCTTGTTGCTGGGAAGGATGGATCTGGATGAGGTTGTGTATTTATATCTGCTAGTGTTTGATGACAGGGAGTATGCTTATCAAACTCTGAAGGAGTATCCCAGGGATCAACTACTAGAATGTATACGGCTCGCTCATGTTCTAGTAGATCAGGGCACAGAGTTCTCTGAGGTGCAGCCTTTGATTGAGGTTTGTGCTGAGTTGGTTTCATCTGGTTCCCCCGAATGCAGAGATGAAATTTTTGCCATCATTTAGTGCAGACCAGGTAGAGACCCTGGTGTGGTTATTAGAGGATGATGTGGGTTACTTTCTGGAGCGTTATTCCACATGTTCACCACAGACACTAAGAGATTGTATAAACGCAGTGCAGTCATTGACCAGACAGGCTTTGTGTAAGCTCAGCTTTGTTCAACCCCTACTGCAGACATGGACAGACTTGTTGCACCCAGCCTCAGTCAGCTTACAAAACCCAGTCCTGCTTCTAACTTTACTCCTGTATTCCCACCAGCTCCTCCAGTTACAGCCCAGTATACTTGGCTATCTACCGCATGTCAGTACCCTGTTCCCACTCGCTGCACCTATCCTGCCTTTAACCCTGTAAAAAAGCCCTCTGTAGCAACTGCTCCCTCTCCTGTTCCATCCTCCAGTTTTTCTCTGTCTCCAGCTGCTCCATTCGTTTGCAGACCTGCGTTTACTTGCAGTGCTCCAGTAGTTAAAACCAGAAAAAAGCGAAAATTCTTTCCAACCAATACCATCCTGCCAGTATCCAAACCGGTGAACCTGCCTTCCGTGACTCAGCCTGAAGCCTCTACTCAGCCTGAAGCCTCTCTTCAGCCTGAAGCCTCTCTTCAGCCGGATGCCTCTCTTCAGCCGATGCCTCTACTCAGCCTGAAGCCTCTACTCAGCCTGAAGCCTCTACTCAGCCTGAAGCCTCTACTCAGCCTGAAGCCTCTACTCAGCCTGAAGCCTCTACTCAGCCTGAAGCCTCTACTCAGCCTGAAGCCTCTACTCAGCCTGAAGCCTGCATTCAGCCTGATGCCGCTACTCAGCATGATGAACTGATCCAGCCCGACGATCCTATTAGGCCAGTTGACTCGATGCCCGCTGTTGATCCAGATGATCCGGTACCTGATCCAGTGCCCGCTATCGTGCCAATTGACTCAGAGCCCGCTGTCATACCTGGTGACCCGGTGCCCACTGCCTTGCCAGATGACGCGGTGCCCGCTGGCAAGCCGAATGACCTGATGCCTGGTGACCCAGTGCCCGCTGTCATACCTGGTGACCCGATGCCCGCTGTCGAGCCAGACAATCCGATACCTGATGACCCGGTGCCCACTGTCGTGCCTGTTGACTCGGAGCCCACTGTCTTGCCAGACGACTCGGTGCCCGCTGTTCCGCCAGACGACTCGGTGCCCGCAGTCTTGCCAGACGACTCGAAGCCTGCTGTTCCGCCAGTTGGCTCGGTGCCCGCAGTCTTGCCAGACGACTCGGTGCCCGCTGTTCCGCCAGTTGACTCGGTGCCCGCAGTCTTGCCAGACGACTCGGTGCCCGCAGTCTTGCCAGTTGACTCGATGCCCGCTGTTTCGCGCCTGTTGACTCGGTGCCCGCTGTTCGCCAGACGACTCGGTTGCCCCGCAGTCTTGCCAGACGACTCGAAGCCTGCTGTTCCGCCAGTTGGCTCGGTGCCCGCAGTCTTGCCAGACGACTCGGTGCCCGCTGTTCCGCCAGTTGACTCGGTGCCCGCAGTCTTGCCAGACGACTCGGTGCCCGCAGTCTTGCCAGTTGACTCGATGCCCGCTGTTCCGCCAGTTGACTCGATGCCCGCTGTTCCGCCAGTTGACTCGGTGCCCGCAGTCTTGCCAGACGACTCGGTGCCCGCAGTCTTGCCAGACGACTCGGTGCCCGCAGTCTTGCCAGACGACTCGGTGCCCGCAGTCTTGCCAGACGACTCGGTGCCCGCAGTCTTGCCAGACGACTCGGTGCCCGCAGTCTTGCCAGACGACTCGGTGCCCGCAGTCTTGCCAGACGACTCGGTGCCCACTCGTCGTGCCTGGTGACTCGGTGCCCGCCGCTTCGTCTGGGGGCCCGAGACCTGTTGCCTCCGCCTGAGGGCCCGAGACCTGTCGCTCCATCTGGAGGTCCGGCGCCCGCCGCTCCGCCTGAGGGCCCGATGCCTGTCGCCCCGCGCCGGGGGCCCGGTGCCTGCCGCTTCCGCCACGGGGCCCGGTGCCTGCCGCTCCGCCCGGGGCCCCGGTGCCTGCCGCTCCGCCCGGTAGCCCGATGTGCCTCTGCCCGGAGTCCTGCCCGATGTGCCTCTGCCTGGAGTCCTGTCCGATGTGCCTCTGCCCGGAGTCCTGCCCGATGTGCCTCTGCCCGAGTCCAGCCCGATGTGCCTCTGCCCGGAGTCCAGCCCGATGTGCCTCTGCCCGGAGTCCAGCTTGATGTGCCTCTGCCCGATGTGCCTCTGCCCGGTGTGCCTCTGCCCGGAGTCCAGCCCGGTGTGCCTCTGCCCGGAGTCCAGCCCGGTGTGCCTCTGCCCGGAGTCCAGCCCGGTGTGCCTCTGCCCGGAGTCCAGCCCGGTGTGCCTCTGCCCGGAGTCCAGCCCGGTGTGCCTCTGCCCGGAGTCCAGCCCGATGTGCCTCTGCCCGGAGTCCAGCCCGATGTGCCTCTGCCCGGAGTCCAGCCCGATGTGCCTCTGCCCGGAGTCCAGCCCGATGTGCCTCTGTCCGGTGTGCCTCTGCCCGGAGTCCAGCCCGGTGTGCCTCTGCCCGGAGTCCAGCCCGATGTGCCTCTGACCGGTGTACCGCTGCCCGGAGTCCTGCCCGGTGTGCCAGTCTTTGATATCCCGCCAGTTACCAGACCCGGGCGGTGGAACATTTTTCCCAGCTAGGACTGTTTGGAGCGTCCTGAGGCCGCTCCTTGAGGGGGGGGTACTGTCAGGAATGGACTGGCCAGCAATGGTGGGACTCACCTGCCTTTTGATCTGCAGTACCAGGGCTGGCCAGCGGATGCTCCCAGCAATCAGAGACTCACACTTTGCAGCCAGCTAACACCTGGAACTGATTATGCTGGGGTATTTAAGGGATGGCCAGACCCACAGACTCTGCCTTGGTGTTGTGTTTGTCCTGGGCCCTGTATCCTGTGTCTGTCCTGGGCCCTGTATCCTGTGTCTGTCCTGCATCCTGTTTCTGAACTGCTGCTGACTTCTCCTGCTCTGATCCCGGCTCGCTCCTGACCATCCCTCTGCCTGACCCTCTGTACCACGCTGCTTGCTATCTGTTCTGATCCCTGGCTTGTGACCCTGACCATCCCTCTGCTTGACCCTCTGTACTACGCTGCTTGCTACCTGCTGAACCTGGCCTGTGACCCCGACCAATCTCCGCTTGCTCCCCCTGTACCTACCTGCCCTATTGATATTGACCCGGCCTGCCTGACGACGCTTGCTTGAATGTACTGTTATCTGTGGGTGGTTGGTTTGGTTTGGTTTGGTTGCACTGTATTATGTTTTAGTATTGCACTGCGTTTATGTTTGTATTGTTAGTGTTAATAAATTATATTGTTTATAACATATCTGAGGTCTGCGTTTCCCTGCGTCAGCCACACACCTCTGGTCACACCTGGGAGCCCTGACAGCAGGCAGGAGAGGAATCAGGTCACAGGCCTGGTGGAGGCAGATCAGGAAGAGACAATAAGCAGAGACAGAAGCTGAAGAACAAGGCAAGGTTAGGGCAGGTAGCAGTCAAGCGGAGTCAGGAGCAAACCAGGTGGCGATCAGAGGTCAGGCACTGCTATCAGGATAAACACAGAAGATGCAGACCAAACAGCAAGTAGCCAGTGCAGTAGTCCTGTTTAAATAGACCGTTTCGTGCCAGTCTTGGTAACAGACACGCACGTGAGTGCTCAAGTGCACGCGTCTATGCGCATTCTTGTGCACATCTGCTTGGCAGTTGCTGGTCTGCGCATGCACATTCTTATGCACCGGGAAACTTTCTCTGCACTATGAGCAAGCCTTTCCTGATATTGCCTCCTCCCTATGGGCAGCCTCCCGATGCCCAACTGGCTATTCTTCTGTGGGTGGCTGCAGATAAATGCATGAATCAAGTCCATGGCCTGCACATTCTGTACAGGGTCCCAGGAATTTTCTTCTGGACCATACCCTTTCCATTTGATTAGATACTGTATCTGACCCCTTCTTATCCTGCAATCTAAGATGGTCTCGACCTCAAATTACTCATCACTATGATCATAGGTTCAGGAGGTCCTGGTCTCCGATCAGGGAAAGTATCTGGTACTGCAGACATCAACAAAGATACATGGAACACTGGAAGAATCCTAAAGGATTTTGGTACTGACAGTTCATAGGAAACATCATTAATTTTCCTTCTTAACAGAAATGAACCCATGAACTGAGGTGCCAACTTCTTTGAGGAAAAAGTCAACTTCAGGTATGTCGTGGCTAACCATACCGGGTCCCCTGGCTGCAAAATTAGCTCCCCCTTCTTTTATCAAACGCTTTCTTATTATCCTCCTGCGCTTTAGTCATGGCTTCCTGTAACACTCTATTGTTGTGGGTGAAGAAAACCAAAGTATTTTAGACAGCAGGAACTGAAGATTCTGAAACACGGTCAGGCAGGAAGGTACGATGGAAGCCATAATTTGCAAAGAAAGGAGATTGTTTGGTGGCTGAATGGCTGGAGTTGTTATAAGCGAACTCCGCTAATGGCAGAAGCGATACCCAATCATCTTGGACAAAGAAGGTAAAACAAGAGACGTATTGCTCCAGAGTCTGATTGGTCCATTTAATTTGCCCATTGGACTGAGGGTGGTAGGCTGAGGAAAAAGATAAGCCAATCTTTAAAGTTCCACATAGTGCCTACCAAAATCTTGACATGAATTGGACCCCTTGATTGGATACAATGTCTGCAGGAACCCCATGGAGCCTGACGATTTCTCTGACAAAAACCCAGTTTCCATGGCAGATGGTGTGCCTTTTAGAGGTAGGAAGTGGGCCTTTTTCAATAGCTGATCAACCACCACAAAAATGGCTGTACAACTCTCAGATTGCGGCTGTCACGTACCTGACCGGAGGCTGTAATAGAGAGAGGGCTCCCCTTATGGCTAAGTGCAGTGCGCCCCTGGAGGTGGAAACAGGAGGTGCAGTGCCCAAAGAAGCACGGGTTGCCAGTGGTGTTGCTGCTTGGAAATGCCTGATGAGATGGAACCCGTGGGTGCTCCAGTTGCAGGATGTGTTTTTTTTCCACAGAACACGTGGATCCCGGAGGATGGGTAGAGTAGTCAGTAGCTAGAGCCAGGATCAATATGGAACAGCAGACAGGAACAACGTCAGGATCAAGCCAGGGTCATACACCGAGTAGCAGCAGACAGGAGCAAGGTCAGGCTAAAGCCGGGGTCATACACAGAGCAGCAGACAGGAACAAGGTCAGGATCAAGCCGGATCGGTAATGGGTAATCAGCAGTAGACTCAGGAACAGGAGGGGCTGACGATAATCCAGCAATCACTGAGCAGAGCTGCAGTCCTTATAAAGGCCACTGAGTGTCAGCAATCAGTGCACCCTGCGTGTGCTGGAGTGTTTTCGTGAACACAGGTGTTAGAAGCTTTCCATAACCTAATATCTAATATCTTCTTATTAACAGTACTAACATAAGTATGAATGAGTTGGATCTTAATAGAATAATTGAGTTATTATATTTATATTTGTTCTAGATTGGGAAAAGTAAGGAATTAGACTTCATAGTCTGTGAATATACATATGAACATAGATCTTGGGTTTTTCCTTTACATATGTTTCACTAACTAGTGAATTGTTTGGTTTATACACAATATTTCTTGATTACCCCACCCCCCCCCCCCCCCCCCCTATACGAGATAACTCTTAGTAAAGATTACTTTTAGGAGAATATATATATATATAAAATATATATATATATATATGTATGTGTTCTAATTGATGGAATGTCAGTGAAGTTTTGTCTAGGCCTTCTTAGGTTACGCTCAGACTTTAGGAGAAGTAGACTGGAGGTTTGTTATATATACACATCTGTTGGTGTCAATTATCTTAGTGGGACTACAAGAGAATACCAACCCACTTTTAGGGAAAGGTGGGGGCTGGATTGCTCTTTTAAGAGTAGAACAAAGGTTTGAGTTTCACTCACTATATAGCAGCCTTGACGACAGACATACACACACACATACACACACATAACACATATATACAATCTTATTATATGCGACAGACATACACACACACATACACACACATATACATATATACAATCTTATTATCAAGAACTTAACTATATTTTTTGGACATTATTTAAACATTCTGTATGCCAATATTTTATTTCTAATTTTATGCAACATTATTATTAAATCATCTTTTTTGAGTTTATACAAGAAGTGGAAGGACTTTCTATCTGAACATTTCTCATCAATACAAGTTAAGAAAATATCGAGAAGATGAATCGTCGGCATAATCGAGAACCTAAATGCAGAATTGGTGAGAATTTTGCGCAATTGCAAGAAACGCTGTTCTTTGGTGATGTCATTTCCCGCCAAGAGAGAAAAGACGCGTTATGTAAAGAAAGACCTTCTTAATTGGTAAGTAATGGATTTTATTGATGAATTATCTAGAGAGAGTAAGTTAGAATTCAAGAATCTGTCTACATTTGTTAAAGATAATGAACTGTGGCGGTACATGTATAATGAGTGCTTACAGGCTAATATTAAGATAGAAAAATCTAAGTTTTCCTTTAAGAAACTGAGCAAACAAGTTAGAAATGTAATGAAGTTAGTTAATGTTTTTAACGCCATGATTTTTGATGTTCCTAAGACTGCTGTTTGTGTAATGAAGCAAGATCAGAGCAGTGTATGTGCTAATTGCCAGACTTTGACTGAGCAAATAGATGATATGCAAAGCGCAATTCAAACAAAAAACATTCAGTTATCTGACCTGCAGAATGATGTAAAAAGAATTTGTGTGAATACTAAGGCAGAGAAACAAAAATCTTTTGTACCAGAGATCCAGTCTATAGAAGGAGACCCTATAGATCAGGAAGAAATGTGTAAGAGAAAATTAAGGAATAAAGCTGCAAAACTTAATCTTAAAATCCTTGATCAGCTCATGAAAATTTGAAGGATATGCCAGCCTATGATATGGACGCCGATGCTTTCTATAACATGGAGGTTTATGAAAATTTTTGTAATAATTTTTGTTTAAATCAGGAGCAAAGAAATTTTCTATTCTGTTTATGGGTCTCCCCAGTGTTATGGCATGTAGATTAATCAAACC